CGCACTTAGTCACCAGTCGCCTGGAAGACAGAATACAAAATGCCACAGAAATAGACTATAATCCTGGCCAGCAGTGATCAACACTGATAAATATTAATAAACACTATTATGCTCACAGAAAAATAGAGACAGAGCAAGCAAGAGAGGGAGAAAAGATAGAGGCAGAGTCAGTCAGAGAGAGGGAGCAGTAACAATAGAGGAGTCTTCTTGCTCTCTGCAGGCAATTTTCCCACTGACGTCCACCTTGTTTTGTGCAAACAGTGCGGACTCACATGCACGAACACTTGCACGCTCTTATTATCAGGCCATTTTCCTCTGTTTGTTTTCACCGTTGTTTTGTCCTGCTTCTTTGGAGGCCAGGATAAGAGGTGGGCACACACACACACACATATGAGAAGTATACAAAGTGGGGAAGAGGCAGAAAAAATGGAGATAAAGTGAGCCTTAAACACACACACATACATACACACAGAGGATAGTATCTCTCCCATTCTCTGCCTGAATCAGTCTCATTAGTCATGCTAAGGCTGTAGTGTTGCTGGGTCGGGCTGCTCGCAGAGCTGTGGAGCTGGACTCCAGCCCACAGCCAGAGAAGGTCACCCACCACTCAGTTTAACTCCCGCAGGACCAACGCTGGCCTCTTCCTGATAATAAGCGGACATCACGATGCACGGGGAGAGACCTGCAATTCCAGACACACCTAATCTGGTGTAGAGCTATGGGAGAAGATGACGAACACAAATCAAATCTTTTTAGTCTTATAATGTTGCATGATTTAAAGTTTAAAATAATTCTTGTGCATTTCTTATACCAGGCCGTGCTCGACCTGCTCTCTGAAAACAGTCATCTGAATTCCCTTCCTTTTACATTTAAGCAATGTTCTGATTGGAGTTGACCTTATCATAATTATCCATTCTCACTAACGTACAGATCCAATGGTGGCCCAATGGATCAATGGAAGCCTGACCTTTCAGCGTATAGGGATTACTTGCACATAAGCTGATCTCATTATTTGAAACTCTTATTAAAAGTCAAAGTATAACAGAAAATCACAGTAGGTCCCCTTTAAAAAAAACTGGGTGAATACAGCATTAGCCATAGAACATAAAAATATTTTTATTGAAAAATATTAATTTCATAGAAAGAGAAAAAGTTCTAAATGGCCCTTTAAAACACATGTTTGGATGACACCCTTTTAAAGGACATGCCAAAATCATCACTGCTACTGCCAGCAGCTTTTGGAAGCCACATAATTATTTAAATAGTGGATGGTGTGTAGTCAAGGGGGTTTTAGCTGATTGTAACATAAATATACCGGTGCTATCTGAAAGGTTCGACTTTTAGTGAGCCAGTCTGATGGAAAAATCGACACCATGAGGACAAAGGAGCACAAACTCAGCTAAAAAACAGTGATTGAAAAGCTCAGGTCAGCGCAGTGATAGAAGGACACTTCCAAATAAGTGAACATGCCATAGAGTCCAGTTAAAGGAATCATCATAAAAACCGAAAGAGTTTGGCGCTGCTGTAAATCTGTCTTTGGAATTGGCCAGCTGATCGTCCAAGAAGAAGAGTAAAAATAGATCTGCCAACAAAGAGACCGGCATCAACTACATGCTGATAAATGTGGGTGTGTTAAGCCCTTTTGTACTTCTATTCTGACCTCATTTTAATGTCATCACACCTACAAGGCAAAGAGGAAAGGTATACGCACTGTAGCTTCAAATGAATGGGAGTAAACATTTTGAGTCCAGCTTATTCAGAGAGGTCAACATTGATTGTACAGTTTTTCACCTTTGCTGACAGCCTGTGAGCATCACCTGACACCGGTTTTATTTCCTCACATCACATTTCCCTGCTTCAAGTTCTCGTTCACACTGTAACCACTGAAGGATGATCGGCCCGCATTAGGGGAAAAGGAAACTACTACGAAGTCTCTTTTTATATCATTTCTAAGCAATTGTAAGAATTGGGATAACATTCACTGTTACTGTTCTGGGCAGAGTTAAGAAACCTTTGTCCATCTGTCTCTCCATTGTTGTGTTTATCTCTCCCTTTCCCTATCACTGTTTTCCTAACTATGTTCCCTGATACTATATGTTCATTCTACCGTTACTGACCCCCGGGCAAGCAGGCAAGCAAACTGAGCAAACAAATCTCTCTGAAATGTGGCAGGACGTTTGAGTACAAACACAGGACAGAAATTCCCTCCAGTTGGTCCTGTTGCTCTCTTAGCTTAAAGATTTCATGATCTACCTGTGCACACTATACTCTGTGCTTTAATGGAAGTCTCAAATCTCTCAACTCACTGGATAAATTACATCATACAGACTCTGAAAAACAAACATCATACCGATGATTACCCAAACTTTTATATTACACCACCTAAGCTGCCAGAGGAAATTTGGAAGTTTTAGAGTGTGAGGTTGGGCACATATAAAACTGTGACCTGTTTTTTTGTTTTTTGTTTTTTTGTTACAATAACCCAAAAAGTGCTTAATATAAAGATTTCGCGTCAGACAAAGTGATTAACTTTGATAGAGTTCAGGTAGAGATTACTGTTCAAATAACCTGACCTTGTCTCTTCAAATGAGCCTGTGCTGATAGTTTCCACATGACACTCACGCAAAAGCAACGAGCTGTCACCGCTCCCATCAGGAAACTATGAACATGCCTGTACAAGATGATGAATTTCTCACAGCGCTATCCCAGAGCGAGCTCCACCAACACAACCTTGATCGATAGCAGGGAGAACGACAGATGGCCATAAAGGACGATCGTGTAACTGCATGCTCATTAGCATAATTGCCTGCATACCTATACAGTAAACTCACAATGGCCTTGTGAGTTTACTGTATAGGTGCGCAGTTTGCACACCACTTGTGAGTTTACTGTATAGGTGCACAGCTTGCACACCACCAGCGGGCTTGTGACAGAGATGTTGTTTCTGTCTTGCATCAAGCTGTGACACTTTAAAGAAGAAAAGTCAATGAGCAATTATAACATGCTCAACATAACAGGGATATTTGAAAATCGGTATTGTGCTCAAGTAAAGGGAAATTCTTTCATATCACAAGCGTGTACATTTTACCCAACATGAGTGCGAGGGTCTAGACCAAAAAACATAATAATGCAGAAACGTGGCTGCACAAACCCAAATTTCTGCAGGTCTAGTTTATGTTTTTATTATAGTCAGATCTTAATTGGCTAAAATTGGCTGTTTGAAGCATGTATCCCTTGTAGCACCATATAAAAACAGTCTACCCATCTTTATTTCATGATAATAACATCTAATGTATCGCTACAAAAGCTGACTTACACATCGTATCTTATAACGTCACCAAGTAGTTAAGCAACCACCAAGAAATGGCTGAAATGTACCATTCTTAGCATTTGTGGACCTCATTTTCGTTTAATGGTCAACAGCTCAAACAGACATGTACTAGCATAAATAAAGCACAATATGGTAGTGCAATGCTAAAATTGCTAATAATATTATTAGAATCAACACATTAATTTAACATTGTGCAGCATATTTAAGTAACCTTTCTTCTCTGGGTGCAAAGTGGCACATTAATCAGCTGCCTCTGTCAACAACTGAATGCTCAATACAGCAGGCTTACATGTTTACTGTAACAATGCTGCAAAAGTAATGCTTCGCATATATAATATTGACCATGTTAGCAATTACAGTTTAACATGTTCAGCAAGCTTACACTTATTAATTAGCCATTCTCAAAAAGCACAGCAAATACTTATGGGACTGCCAACAGTTTTGCAGTGCTAATGATTGCCACCTATAATGTGCACTATGTCAACAGTCGCAGAATAACATGTTTAGCTAATACCTGCTAATTAACCTTTCCCAAAAATTACAGATAGGGCTGATGGGAATGCAGTCTGCGTTAATCTGAATATGGGACTGAATAAGAATTCAACAGGGCGTTTATGAAGGTTTTCTTCCAATTCTAAATGAATATATTTATTTATTTATTTTATCTGCTTACAGTAAGATCAGAGGATCACTGAAGACTATATTCTTGAATGACCACAAATCTTTGCACATTTTTTGGCAATGCATCCAGCAGTTTTTCCATAATTGGACTGACTGACTGACACATCTAGAGCTGCTAGTGTAGCTAAAAAGATCTGCTAGTTAGCTTTCTACGTCTTCTGCCTTCCTTTATCTCTAACATTTTTTAATTAATTCCTGTCCTCTACGACCAGGCTTCGGTCACACTTTTCTTCACACCTTCTCTTCTGTCTTTGCTACCTCCTTTTTTGTCTTCCTTCCTAGCAGTCCATGCCCCCACCTTCCATAAAACCCACCACTCCGACTTTCTGTCATTCTTCATCACTCTCCTCCCCTTTATCGCTGCATCGTCTGTTCTATCCGCATTGTATTTTCAGATCACATCCAGACTCTGGCTTTACACACTAAGTCACTCTATACCTCATCACTCAGAGGAAAGTCAAGGAGAGGGCAGAAAGAGATGGTGAAAGAGCAAAGGCTTGAGAAAAAGGGGAATGAGACAGAAGAAGCTAAAGGCAACCAAAAGAAACAAGATTGCAAAAAAAAAAAGGGAAAGTTGGGGGGGGGGGGGGGGTTACAGGTCAAAAATTAAAGACAAAGAAAAAAGGTCAAGAAGAAGAGTTGCGGAGCAGAATAAGAAAGAAGAAGATAAAAGAAGAAGCAGAGGGAGAGCGGGGTTAGCAAATGAAAGAAGCCCTTATGCTAATGATGGGACTAGAGTAAAGACGTAGGAGCGAAAGAGAAGATGGAATAGCAGAGAGGGGAAGAGGAAATGGAGACAGGGAGGTGGAGAGTAGTTCAGAGATTTATGGCAGGGTGTTATGGAGCACCGACTAAATAACAGAAGGTGAGACCAGGTGAATTATTCATGAGGATACTGGGCTGTGAGTGTGTGTGACATGTGGGTGACAGGAGCAGGTGAAGCACACACACACTTACACACACACACACTTGCATCTCTAAGACACCCTTAGGCCAGCTCATCTATGAGTATGAGCAAAGACAAGCCATCCACTACCTGTAGATGAAATTATTAGAAAAAAACAACAACACAAAATCTCAGCAAGACAGCTGTTGTGTGCTCAGACTAAAGAAATATGGGGACATTTTAACAAAATTAAAAACTAATTTGGGATGCATGAAAGTTTTGATCCCTCTAGCTCATGCCCGTGTTGGTACTTCTCTCGGCACTTGACAACCAGAAGTCAATTTATTCTAATTTAGGTATTTTAGTTCCACATCTGGTACCTTCACATGGATCATTAGACACTTTATGGAAGTTTGGCTACTGTGCTGCAGGTAGACTGGATGTTCTGCTTTAGAACAAACAGCTTCTTTCTTAAAAAGATCATGTAAACACATTCTCCCACTATGTTAAAATGCTCTTCTTATAATAACATTTATTCCATGTGGCACAAAATGTGGAATTGCGCCTACACTTTGATTGCCCTAACCAAAATGGAAAACATCACTTTGCCATGTCTGAGGATATGCTGACATTCTTTTTTTACCCACTAAGTAGATATCTGGTTCTCACTAAGAAGAGGAGAGGAGTATGGATCTCCATTTTTCTGGAAAAGCAGTAACCTGGCCCCTTTGACATGATACTGAGACTTTAAATACTACGATAACAAGAATCCAAAAGCACTTATAATAACTATAGATGCATAATGAGTTGTTAAGTTAAAGACTCTATTTACTCACATGGCTTACAGTGGTTTACCTCACTGCCTACCTCTCTCACGCCCACTAAAGGTGTGTTTTCGGGTTGTTGGCTCTACCAACTTTTCCAAGTAGATGCCTCACTATGATCATGTGTTGATGATGAAAAACCTCTAATTAATCTATTAAAATTGCTTCAATGACTGGACAGAACCTTCTCAGACACGGCTGGTATTGGCACAACCTGAATCTGTGATCACTTCAGTGCTTTGGGAAAGGTGCGAGGTAATGAAAGGCTATCAACAAATAAAAGCTGTAACCAAGCTTCACAAAAACAATAAAAAAGACATAATTTTTCCTTTTCCGGGGTTAAAAAATGCAAAATTCAAGGTTGCACAATCATAGGAGGAAACAATCCACACAGGTACGGATGATCACAAGGAAAGAAAACACTTCTGGGAGTTACTGTCTCAAACACTCACCGAGTTGATGCAGGCCAGCTCCTTGTTGAGCAGCCAGGGCAGGGAGAGTTTCCCCTCTCCTCTGTAGCACGACTGAATCCTCTCTTTAATCTTCTCCTTTATCTGCCTCATTGTGAACAGGCACAAAGCTGACTCCTTCGGCGGCTTGGCTCTGTTCTTCTGACCCTGCGCAAACACAGTAAATAGAACCTCCTCGTGCTCCTGAATACCAAGCGAACGTGCCAACCGGCTCCCCGGCCGGGCTAAATAAGCATCCTGAACCAGGCGGTACTCCACTCCGTCCTTGGTGCAGCCAATAGGGAACTCAACGTAGGAGTAGAACTTGGGATCGTCAACACACAGGCGGACGATCTTAGAGGTGAAGAACTGCTCGCTGGCCGCATCTGGGGAAGTGAGCTGGGTGTCGAGCTGTAAGGTGAGGTAGTACACAAACTGCTCGCTGTTGAAGCCGTAGATGTAGTAAATGTCGAACGCGGGGAACTTTGAGAGCGTGTCTGAGGGAATCTTGAGCTGGGAAGAGACAAACTCATCCTGGTACACGAAGCTGAACATGTCAGCGTTTTCCTCGTTGGACATCAGCTTGCGGCTAGACAGCGTGGGGAAGTACTCAGACTTGCCATCGATAGGAGTGCCGACAAAGAGCTTCCCTCCGCCTCCAAAAATATCCGGGGAAATCACGACGCCCGACATGGTGCCCGCCTCGGCCACACTGGATAGATAATGCTCTTTGCGATGGTGGGGTTCGCCCAGCTTGAACAAATCATCCAGACGCAGGAACTGGCATATTCCCTGGGAAGTACTTCCACATGCAATCAAGCGGTTGTGGGCAGCATCGAGCAGAAGGAGTTTATTGACATTAGAGGTCTGCACCAGCTCGTGGGGGCAGGACTGTACACCAGGTGGAGGGTAACAGCGAGGGTTGTCTGTGACAGGGCCGGTGACGTGGCTTCGTAGCTTGGTGAGGTTGCTGGAGAGCTTATAGATCCAGTTGACGGCACCCAAGTAGACCTCGCCGGTTTTGTTGTTGACCACCAAATGTGTCAGGCCTCCTTCAGGAGGGGAGAAGGAGAGAAAGGGGGATGCAGAAGGAGTAGTAGAGGTAGAAGCGATGGAGAGAGGAAGTACAAGGAAGAGGATGGGGAGGATGAGAAGGGGAGGGTTAAGGTGGGAAGACATGGTGGTGAAGAGGGGAGGGGGGTGTGAATGTGTAATCCTTTACAGGGTCAGTCAACGCCTTAGAGGAGCGCGGGGTGCAAAAGATGCAAAAGAGGAGTTTCCGAGCAACTGGCTTCCCTCGTCCTTTATTCCTCCTGTCTCTGCTGTCGTTTCTATAACCTCATCCCCTGATCCTCAGCTTTGTCTGCCACCAGCCCTGCAAAAAAAGGAAAAACAATGAAAACTGTCAATATATAGTTGTACACTTCCAGAGAACTGCCAACAATTATTCATTTGAATACATCAAAATGACAAGCCACTAAATATTACTCTGACTCAGACTCTGAGGACCAGATGCTGAAAGCAGAAACCAAAAAAAGAAAAAATACAAATGAGGGCACTATCGGCTTTGTTTTATTGACTTCTCGACTCTTGGCTCGCACCACTCGGTGGAGTGCATCTTTTAAAAGAAGACAGGGGCTGAGCATTGCTCTTCTGCTTATTGATTGTCTGGAGGTATTAAAGGATTCAGCGGACAGGGTGCACTTTCACACACATAAATACACAAACACCTCAAAACCTGTAGATGCGCTCATAAGCAGACATATAGAAAAGGTAGCTTGCTATACGTATACAAAAAAAACCTAAACTAAAACACACACATACCCAGGGCCAACCACTGATGTGTGATAGCAGGTAAACACCCATAAATTACAAGCAGAGCAGCATGAGAGTCCTAAAGTATATTTACTACAGGGAAACAGAGCAGAGAAATACAGGCAGCCTGCCTTCTGAAAAAGAAAGGCAGAGGGAGGAACTGGTCAAAGCAGATAAAGCAGAAGAGACGATGAGAGGGAGAGAAGTGAAAGCTATTTGGCTTCATACCAGTGGAAGTGGAGATGACTGGAAAGATTGCTATAAATGAAAACTAGGGAAAATAGTAAGGAAAGAGAAAAGCGGATGGACCATTCATCTATATTCCATTACTTTCATTTTATATTCACTTTTATGGTTTAGGGTCATGGGAAGCTTGAGATTATCCCAAAATGCACTTTGCACTGGAGCCTACCAAGGTGACACTGGACAGGGCCAGAGACACAGCACATCCTGGACAGGGCGCGCCTGCAAGTTGCACCACATCAACCAAGTCAATTTCATGAAGGTGAAATTGACTTGGTTGATTTGAAGATGAAGCATTTTTCTAACCAAAAAGATTTTGGCATATAAGCGCTAATTCATTTGGCTATAGGCAACCTCTTTTTGCTATGTGAATAAAAAGCCTTTTATTTGGGCAAAAAAGTATCCATGTCTACAAGTTAACAAACCCTGAAGCCACCATTTTAGAGCTTTCCTCTTCCTCTCTGTGTAACTTCACTGGAAATGATTGGTGCGGTTCAAGAAGGGATACGCTTGTAGTGCTTGACGGCACTGCAGAGTCAGCTTACTGCCAGTTTTGTCATAGTGGTCAAACGGGATGCTGTAAAAAAAAAATCCATGTTGCCCCAGCAACACTGTGCTCATACAAAATATAAGTGACATATCAAAACCCTGCAAAAAGCACAGAAGTGATAGGAAAAGTGACAATTCATGTCCGCACAAAGTACAAGCAAACTGCAAAATGAAACAACAGCAGAAGTTTTAAAAAAAATTGCGAAGTTCTTCAACTGGTCAACTGAGGTTTGTTCCAAAAGGAGAAGTTTAAACGTTCTACCAAAAACAAACAAACAAACAAATCAACTTCAAAGCAAACCCCAACATGGTTTCAGCCTGCTAGAAAAATCGATTTGGTCTCTATAGATATTTTCCCTATTCATTCAAATTGTAGGAGATTAAATTTTAATGTAATTGATCAGTTTAAAATTTATCAAGGTAGCTCAAAATGTTTTGAGTTCTGATAAAACTTTGTGGTGGTCATAGGGTCATGCTAACAAACCATTCAAATTTGCCTTACATCCAAGAAAGTTCTTTAAGGTCAACTTAATAAGTTGAAATTTGAGTCGCGTGTATTTCACAACACATCCATTATTTTTATTACTACTTTTTTGCTAGCTATCTTATTAAAATCACAGTGAATCACACGGTTGCTTTGCTAACCACACTAGCTAGCTAATGCTAGCATTAGCAGGTAACTGAGCACAACCCCTCCAAGCAATGTCAGAGAAAACCCAAGATGAGGCCAGTTTAGATCCCAAGCTTGGAGCATTATAACTGTAGCCCTCAAACCAATGAGGGGTATGGATATGCAATGTCTGTCAAACTAACCAGCACAAAAACAAAATAGCGGTTCAAAGGCTAACCACATACAGTACTGTTCAATTTTCTTTTCATTAGTTCATGCAGAGAACAAAGCGACGGCTTGTTTCATAATGGAGTTTGGACAGCAAACTATTCTCGTCTCCTGTTTCTGCCGCTGTTCCTTATTTCTCCCTTTCATTACATTCCTCTCCCTCTCTCTCTCTTCTCTCAGACACTTCTTGTCAATAGTGTCTTTCATCTCCTGCCCAGCCATGATTACAGTGGCCCAGATGACGATGCTGTTGCCTGTCCCATCAGGACAATAAACCCACTGTTAGCATCTTGGACACATAAAAAAAATGTGAACATATAACACACACATACAGTACGCGGTCAAAAGCATTTCTAAACCCTATCACAGACCTCATTGACTTCATCGTGCCGCATACCCTCACACATGTAAACTTAAGTGACATAAAACGAACCTTCCCACATGCAGTCAGGCACCGCGCGTGCACTTTATCATAATACACAAACACTTTAAGAGAAAGGAGAAGACTTGCATGCTATACTAAATGACAACATAAGAATGCGCGGTTATTGTTGAACATTTTTGTCTCACCTTCTCTGATGTACTTTACACATTCTATTAATAAGTGAAAATCACACAGCACATGTGAACTCTGTGGCCATATTGCTTCAATAGCCAGCGGAGCTGAGTGCTGATGATTACAGGCACTGTTTGACTAAACTGGGACAAAGAGATGAGAGGAAAGAGGAACGCATGAACTGAAAAACACAAGGTAGTGATTTGAAAGTATTTTCTTTTATGTTGGAATTAGATCAAAAGAAGAAAATATCAGTTATTAAGAGGTAAGTTTGCTAGAAATGTGAATATGGATTCACAAATGATGAAAGAAAAATGCGACAGAGTAAACTGATGTGAAACCAATTTTTCTTCCTTTGTTGCCTCCCAATTCACATCTCTGTCACTCTTTTATATGGTTATTGTATTTTGTGAATGTTTATTTTTCACAAATTTTACAATTTCGATTTTTGCACTTATTTTATAGATTTAAGCTGCACATGTCTGTTTACATGTCTGACTGAAATGTTTGCCAGCATTTCCGTCAGGTTGAGGTCTGAACTTTGACCTAGCCATTGCAGCACCATGTTCCTTTTCTTTTTTAGCCATTATGTTGTAGATTTGCTGATGTGCTTAGAACCATTGTCCTGTTGGCTAGGGTAGGGCAATATGGCCCAAAATATTTATCATGATACATATTTGAAATTTTGCGATAAAGATATAACTGGCACGAGACAAAATACTTTACAACTCCACAACTCTATTAGTGCAAAAAACCCATCAATTTATTTTCACTTAAACAAGCAGCTGTTCTTACAGGGAGGACTTGTTGGTTCTGCTTTCTGCCACGACGTAGCATGTTCTACAAAAAATTGTGTTTTGGTGACGGACGAAAACCAAACCAGTTCCACACCACTGAAGTTGCGCAATTTTCACAAACCAATTCTGGTTCATCTGTTTCATTCAACAATCTGCTTTCGCCCTTCTCATTCTCCGTCGCTGCCATGCTTTTTCCGCCATGTGCGTATGAGCGTTTGAAAACACAAACACTGCGCCTGCGCGTTTTACCCATATTCTATCGCGATATTTAATTTTCTTATCATTGCTTAAAATTGTACCGGTATTACTGTGAAAGGTATAATATGGCCCAGCCCTACCATTGACCCAATTTGGCTGAATTTGGAGCACAGAAGAGTTCATGATTCTGTGGATGGAAAACAAGCCCAAATCATTACACCTCCACCACCGTGCTTAGTAGGTAATAAAGCAGTTAGGCTGATATGCTGCATTTGGTTTTCACCAAACAGAGTTCAGTGCGTTAAGGCCAAACATCTCCACTTTAGTAGCACCCAATCAAAGGACATTGTTCCAGAAGTGGTGGTTTGTTCACATGTAACGTTGCAAACCTAAGCTATGTTACTGTGTTCTTTTTAGATCTCCTGGTAATGCTGTACAGTAAATTAGTTTTAACATTTAATGTGCTAAAGTGAAGTTGGTAGAGCCTGAGGTGCAGCTCTGGGGCTTTTTTGTATTTTCTCTGAGCATTGCACAGTCTGACCTTGGGGTAAACTTGCTGGGACATCCACACCTGGGGAAATTAAAAGCTTAAGACCAACAAACTTGTACAGAGTGTTTATCGACACTACCTGTGCATCACTGGAGTCTGCTGGCAAAAGGCATTTGCAACTCCATACTAAAGCCCAAGCTTCTAAAGTGACGCAAAATACTATCTGGTGTTCTTGTTGTTCATCATTTAAAGCCACCTCTAATCAGGAAAATATGGCACTTGATATATCACCTGATATATCGCATCATTAATTCTTTGAAGCTGATCAGCATCTCATCTGATAAAGGCCTTCACCTCTAAACGTGTGCACGTTTTTGTGTCAGGGCTATCCCCAAGCCCACCTGCCACGTCAGATGAAGCTGTTGAGGCATTCAGGTCTGCCCCGAGTTGATTTATTGCTGTTGGCACATCGATTGCACACACAGCCACAGACCTAAGCCAAACACTTAAGCAAATTTATACACACCACTTCTTCAGCATGGAGCTCACATTCATGCCTGCCGGCCTCACTTCGTGCGAGTCTGTTTGTATATGTGTGAGCGTATTCTGCATCTGGTCCATCTTAATTACTTGTCAAACAGTCATCCACACGCGTCAGCTTATATGTGAACTGTACAATACGTACACAAGGCATACATAATGAAACTTTGAAAACCTCAGGCAAAGTATAAACATTTATACAGATACCTTTTCCAATTTAAACACTTTTTTTCTGGACAAAGAGCCATAGAGAAAGAAAACATTGGAGTTGGACTGAGCTGCTTGGAAACTTGACCTACATTTATTACCTTGTTGATTAAAGGACGTGAGCCCAGAGGTTTGGATTTCC